TCTTGGGTGCTAAGATGGCAACTGCCAACATGCTGAACATTATAAAGCAAAGCCAACAAATCATGAGATATATATGATAGGTGAAGAAAATGATAACAAAAATCAGTGTGAACTCTAGCTCTGAAACCAGAGACATACACAAATGTTCCTGTGGACACATTAACACTGGAATACACTTTCTTTAACAAACACATGGCCTGGGAGATGGCTGGGGCTGGGGAGATGACTCAGTGGAACAAGCACTTGCCTGGCAAGCGCAGGGCCTGAGTTCAATCCCTGGTTCCACAAAAAAACCCAAAACCACGTGATTTTGATTCCTTGTCCTTGAACACAGTCTGGACTGTTAGATCCCTACTCAAGGCCAAAAGGACTGTGCCACATTATAAACACGGGCATGGAAGGTCCCATGTCCTCCCAAAGAAGCCCTGTCGAGTGCACAGGCCGTGGGCCTTCCAAGGTAGCGCAGCAGTGGTCCAGAAGGTCCCACTTCCTGCCACCCTGTTACCATCAGTAAAGGAGGGAGTTCAGAAGGCTTCCTACTGCCCTATCCTGTGAATCCTTCAGCCACCCGGCTCCTCGACCAGACTCTGCCCCTGCTCCCGTGGAAAGCCAGGAATGCCAGCAATCCATGTCTACGCTCACTCACAAACAGTAGCTACCCTCTCTTAGCCTGAGGCCTCCACACTGTACACCACCACCTTCACTAGGCTTCAGTCAGAGTCCTGTGTTCACTGCTCCATCACTCTTACTAAACACTGTACGCACTATCTCCCCGACCCAACACCAGCCATCAGTCCCACAACTGCTCAAATCCTCCAACTCAAAGCCTCTAGCTCAGCACAAGGTAGACAGGTAAACAGGTAGACAAGTAGATAGATAGACAGATAGATAGATAGATAGATAGATAGATAGATAGATAGATAGATAGACAGACAGACAGACAGACAGACAGACAGACAGACAGACAGACAGGACAAGACAGTACAGGACAGGACAGGACAGGACAGACAGACTGGACAGGGAAGGAGGGAGGGAGGGAAGAGGGACTAGAAGTAGTCAGGCATGGTAGTACACACCTACCTATAATCCCAGAACTTTGGGAGGCTGTGGCAGAAAAAGTACAAATTCAAGCCCTACCTGAATAATTTAGCAACCTAGTGAGATCCTGTCTCAACATTTTAAAAATTAAAATAAAGGTGAGGGAGATAGCTTGGCAGTCTAAGTGCCTGCTTGGCAAGCACAAGGACCCAGGTTTGATCCCCAGTACTGTATGTCATGCCAGCCCCTGAAACCAGGCATGGAGGCACATGCCTGTAATCCTAGTGCTGGAGAGGCTGAGACGGGAGGATCACTATGAGTCTGAGCTGCATAGTGAGACTCTGTACCAAATTAATGAATGAATGAGAGAAATACAAGGGCCAGCCTGATAGCTCAGCTGACTAAAGTGTCTTCTTAGGCAGAGCACAGCAACCAGGGTTTGATTCCCCACCTGCCCTGCTGGCCCCACCCATGGGGCATGCTGAGACAGCAATTGAGATTAGGTGTGGTGGTGGTGCAAGCCTGTAATCCCAGCACTTGGGAGGCTGAAAACAGGAGAATCACTATGAGTCCAATCTACATAGTGAGACCCTGTAGACCCTGTAGACCCTGTCCTAAATACAGAAAAAAAAGAAAAGAAAAATACAGTTCTTACTTAATTTATAGAAAAAAAATAAAAATAAAATGGGAGGGCCTAGGTATGTAGCCCAGTCACCACACACACACTTTTAAAAGGCAGGGTATATTGTATCTCCTGAAAAAGAAGGAACACTGTTAAACTTAGCCAACTATGCACTTTTTTTTTTCCTTTTTCTATACTGCGGACCAAACCCAAGACACTGGACATATGCTAGACAAGCACTCTTGTCACTGAGTTACACCTTTGAAATAAATAATTAAATTAATAATGTCCAATCATGAAAATTACAGAACAGTTTAGTCTTCAATGTAACCTAGGTGAGCAAAAAATCCAGAAAAAATGTAAACATGTAATAAATAACTTAAAATAAAAAACTAAAACTGTATTAAAATCTATGAGATGATAAAGAAGAACTTGGATGAAATGTCTAAGCCAGGCACAGTAGTACACACCACTATAATCCTAGTTATTTGAAAGAAAGTTCAAGGCCAATTTGGACAACTAAGTGAAACTCTTATCTCAAAAATTTTTATGCCAGGCATGATGGTACACATCTGTAATCCCAGCACTCAGGAGGCTGAGGCAGGAGGATGGTCACGAGTTCAAGACCAGACCAAACTACATAGCAAGACCCTGTCTCAAAAAACAAAACAGGGCTGGCGAGATAGCTCAGTGGTCTAAAGCGCCTGCTTAGGCAAGCATGCAGGGGCCTCGGTTCGATCCCCAGCACCACATGCCATGCATGCCAGCCCCGCCCACAGGGTGGGCTGAGCTGACCATAAAAAAAGAAAAAAAAATAAAGGAAACATTTAAAAAAAAACAACAATAAAAGAATTATACATAAAGAGTTATACAATTATACAAAAAAAGTTACCACATGATCCAGCAATTTCCAGGGTATATACATACATACTCAAGCAAAAGGAAAACAAAGCTGAGCATGGTGGCACACACCTATAACCCAAGCAGTATGAGAGACTGAGGCAGGAGGATTCCAAATTTCAGCCCTACCTGTGCAACTTAGTGACTTAGCTAGACCAAATCTCAAAGTAATAAAAAAAAAGGACTGGGGTGTACCTTAGTGTGAAGGTGATGGGCTTAACAGGAACAGAGAAAGAAAAAAAGAGAAAGAATAGGATTAGAGAGCTGGGCATGGGGGCACATGCGGTAATCCAGCCCTTGGGAGATTGAGGCAAAAGGATCATTTTGAGTTGAAGACCAGCCTGGGCTAAAAGTGAGCTCACGGCTAACCTTAACTGCATGGTAAGACCGTGTCTCAAAACAAGACCAAAAAAAAGAATATATTTAGGCAAAAACTTGTGCACAGATGTTTATGGCAGCATTATTTAAAATAGCTAGAAGAGCCAGGTGTGGCGGTGCATGGCTATAATCCTGGAACTCAAAAGGCTGAGGTAAGAGGATTGCTACAAATTCAAATTAGCTTAGGCCACATGACAAGTTCAAGGCTAGTCTGGAACACAAACAAAACAAAACAAACAAACAACCCAAATAATCATCAACTGACATGTAGATGAAAAATACGATATATCCATACCATAAGGGAATAAAGTTCTGATACATTCTACAACTTGCATGAACCATGAAAACATGCTAAGTGACGGAAGCCAGACATAAAGGGCCACACAGTATATGATTCTACCAACATGAATTGTCAGACTAATCAAATCCAGGGAAACAATAAATTAGTGGTTTCCAGAGGCCAGAGGAAGGAAGAGCTGAACATGACAGCCACAGGGACAAGGTTTCTCTCAGGGATGATGACATGTGCCAGAGTTAGACAGTGATCTTTGTTGCACAATTCTGAGAACAAACTCACTGAATTACATTCTTTAAAGGAAACATTTTATTGTATATAAACTACTGATCATTAAAAAAAATTTTAAAAACAGACTGATCATAGCAACTGTTTTATTCCACTTTTATGGTACTGGTGATTAAACCCAAGGTCTTCAAACTGAGCTACATACCCCACTGCTTTCCCTATATTTTGAGATTGGGTCTCACTAAATCCCTAAGATGATTTATTTTAATTTTTAAAATCTTTTTTTAAAAAATAATAAAAAAATAAAATCTTTTTTCTTTTCATTTTTTCTTTCTCTAAAAAACTAAAACCTTAAATTACTTAGGCTAGGCTTGAATTTTGGAATCCTCCTGTCTCAGTATTCCAAGAGTGCTGGGATTACAGGCATGTTCCTGTTTTATATATTTTTTGTTCTTGTCTTTGTTAACAAAATCGAAGTATCAACCATGGAGCCAAGTATGATATAGTTCAGTGGCACGGTGCCTGCCTGGCAAACACAAGGTCCTAAGTTCGATTCCTGGTACCAAAAAAAGAGAAAAGTATCAACCATGAAGCTTTTTAACTTTAATAATATTAAATCAGTGATTTTACTAACAAATTAAAAGAACCAAATAATCAAACAATATAGTAAAAGTAATGCTGCAAGAAACAAGTCACTTCCACAAACTAATGAATATTCAAAAAAATGTTTTTGTTAAAAGACCAGATGGCTCTGAAGGATTCACTGATAATTTTTTTTAAACTCACAAAAAATAATCTACATATACATCCCTGAAAAGAAGGAACCCCTCCCAATGACCTCTTCTCCACCAAACCAGATATGGTAAATTATTTCAATATACACCCATAAAGCATATATATAAAATTATAACTTTTCAAGTAGTGTTACAGATTGAACTCAGAGCCTCACCATGACAAAGCCTTCTGCTTAACAACTGTGCTGAGCCCTGGACTAAGTCTGAGCCATTGGACAGAAAATAGCTAGAAGAGGGCTAAGCTGGTAGAGGAAGACCATCAGCAGGGCCCAGAGCATCCCATTAACCCAAGCTATTGTCAACCTAAGACTATAAACTCAGACATCTTAATGTATTTCTTATTTGTCATAAATCACCTCAACCATGTACCACATGAGAAGCCACTTAAAGACTTTGATCTCTAACATGGTGAAGTAACAGAGGAGGCAGGGTTGGTAGTACATGCATCACAGTACACACCTCAGACCCAGGCAGGTGGGCAAAGGCCAATGGGAGCAAGAGCTATTGAGGTGTATCCCCAGTGAGAGCAAGCTCAGGTCAATGGGTTTTGACAGCAAACAGTTCAAATTCCATGAATGACAATCTCTTGCCAAGGTAGCCCAACAACTACCTTTCAGAATCTTCCTCCCAGTGGCGTCTCTTGACACAGATGCACAGCAAAGTCATCCCCAGCGTCAGTTGCCAGAATGACTCTAATAGACCAGGATGGAGCAGGAGAGCAAAACAAATGTTCTCAGTGACTCACCAGGAAGTCTGTTCATGTTGACACCTTGGGCTGAGAGTCCTATTCCCATGTACCTTCAAAAAAGCATAAATAAAATTTTCAGTTATCGGGCTGGTGAGATGGCTCAGTGGTCTAAAGCACCTACTTAGAATCAAGCTAAGCTAAGCAAAGCACAGGGACCGCGGTTCAATCCCCCAGCGCCACATGCCAGCCAGCCCTGCTGGTGGGCTGAGCTGGCCACACACACAAAATAAATAAATAAATAAAAATTAAAAAAAAAATTCAGTTATCAATATGACTATGTATATCTCATCTCAAATAGTTCTTGGTAAAGGACAAAAAAAAAAAAAAGGGAAAAGTAATGAAGGTTGACTCCTTTACTAGTGGTCCTCAGAGAACTTCTACAATTGGCTTTCTAATGGAAAGTACCTTCAGGCTTTGCAGCTGGAGAAAAAGGAGGCAGTGTGCATAATCATGTACCATTGGTTGTGGCTTCATAGTAAAATGCCCTGAAATAATGGCAACCAGTCCCTTGGCTTTGTGGCCCCCGCTAAGCCAGCAGAATCTATTCCTAGAAGTACTCCATAAGGATAAGCCACTCTGTACCAGACTCCTAACATAGAGCTTTTTTTCTGGTGTTTCAAAATTCATGATCCTCCACCATATACATTCCCATCTGGCTTCCCAAACTATGCAAAGCTGGAGGGTGGTGAAAGGTGAACCCCCCAGGTCCCCTACTCCTCTCACCCCACATGCCTAAGCAACTAAGTCACTCACAGCAGGGTGCAGCCTAAGGTGGAGAACCATCAAAGATGTTTTAATGATATTTATGAGAAGCAGGCCAAAAAAAGAAATAAGTGGCCTAATTTTTGGCCTAATTTTGTTTTTAAACAAGGTCATACTATATAATCTAGAGCCTTGAACCCCCTATGTATTCCTGACTTGCCTTAAGCTCATAATCTTCCTGCTTCAACCTTCCAGGTGCTGGGATACACCTGTACCACTGCACTCAGCTCTCTACATTTTTTTTTTTTTTTTAATCTTTTTGAGACAGGGTATCTTTGTGCAGTTCAGGCTGGCCTTGAGCTCACTTTATAGCCCAGGCTGGTGTCAAACTTGCAATGATCCCCCTGCCTCAGCTTCCTGAGTGCTGGGATTACAGGTGTGTGCCACCAGGCCTTGCTTGCTCTCTGAATTTCGATAGCATACCAAAAAAAAAAAAAAAAAAAAAAAAAAATCTCCAAGAACTTCAAAATAAGAGAAACAAGTTGTTATCTTCTAAGAATAAAATAATAGAAGCCTACACAACATGCTTGATTATAACCACAGATGAGCATCATTACATAGCTGAGATGTCTAGAATGCTCAAAACATTAAAAAGGCCATCTAAGGAAGCCTAGGTATAATTTTCTAGTTATATAACAACGTGAATGCACTTAATGTCACTGAACTGTACATTTATAAATGGTTAATATGAAGCTAGGAATACATGCTTGTAATCCCAGTATTCAAGAGGCTAATGCAGGAGGATCTCAACATCAAGGCAGGCCTGGACGACCTGGCAAGACCTTGTCTCAAAACAAAATAATACAAAATGGCTAGAGATGCAGCTCAGCACACCCTGAGTTCAAATTCCACTACTGAGGGAGAGGTTTAAAACAGTAAATTTCATGTTCTATATATTTTATTATAAAATTTAAAAGTATCCATTGAGCCAGGTATGGTGGTGCATGCCTATAATCCCAGAACTTGGGAGACTGAGGCAGGAGAATTGTCACAAATTCAAGGCTAACCTGGAATACTGAGTTCAAAATCAGCCTGGACTACACAGCAAGGTCACACAAAAGAAAACTTAGACAACTTCTTCCTCCCTTGGGTGGTTCAATGCACCTACGTATCCATTACCTAATACTCTAAGGGTTCCCCAAAGCCTACTGCCCCCACCTCTGCCAGTCCTTAGCTGTACCACTAGATTTTGAAAGAACATCCTCTACCACCAAATAGAAGACCAGGCAAGGTGGGAAGGGCTTTGACCCATTCATCTGTTTTTGAAACCAGCAATCCCCATAATGCTGGGTGGGGATGAATGAGGAAAAGAGATCTATACATGACCCTGATAACTTGGCTCATAGGACTAAAAAGAAAGAATAAAGGAATAAGGAAAACAGATCTTGAAAAAGGGAGCTTTGTGATCCAAAGAAATCTTGTCTTCTGTTTTAAGTAGCAGTTAAGACAGAGTTGGAGTGTTTGTTTATTTGATACAGGGTCTCCCTACATAGTTCAGATTAGTAGTGATCCTCCTGTCTCAGCCTCCCCAGCGCTGGGATTACAGGGCACGTCTTGCCAAGGTTCTGGGCCGGCATGGCATGTCGGGATCAAACTCAGGTCCTTGCACTTGCTAGGTAGGCACTTAGACCACCAAGCTATCTCCCCAACCCCAGAGTTGGATTGCTAAAGGTCAAAGACGTGGCACAGTGTGGTATCATACACCTGTAATTCCAGCACCTGGGAGGTTGAGGCAGGTGGATCATAAGTTTGAGGACAGCCTGAAGAACAGCCTGGGTGACCCTGTCTCAAAATAAAAAATAAAATAAAAAGAACTACAGATCTAGCTCAGCATTCTCTGATTTCAATTCCCAGTATTGTAAAATAAATAAAGATTAAAAATAAAGCCAGGGGGCCTGGCTGTAGCTCAGGCCTTTAAGTGGCTGCTCCCACAAAGCTGTCAGCCTCAGGTTGCTAGAGTTCGA